AGTCCTTTTTAATTATCAGTATTCTTTGAGTGTAATAAATAATAATGTTGCAATTTAGAGGTAGCATATTTATGACATAGTTCTAAAACAAATTTATTAAATAATCTAAGTTCTTATCTTAATTACCTTAAAGATATATGCATATTTTTGGAATCTTTAATTTTAAGGTCCTAATCATGTTTACAAGGTAGTATGACATAGGTTAAAGCTAAAGACGTATCACCTTACTACTTCATGCTCATGAAGAAACTTGTCAGATGTACACAGAGCACATGCCTTCGTTTTACGTTTTGTATCTACTATATTCAGATTAAGCAAGTATGAAATCTAGGGAGAAAAAGCAATGTTTAGCTAATTTTTTTAAACCACTGGGAAATTTTTAAAAAATGCTCACTGCTCAATTTTAAAAATTGCTTTAAGATAGTCAATTTTTAAATTCTGAAAATATCTGACAATTGTCCCATCTGAAGCAAAAAATTAAGTTAATAAGTTGGTAAACAATAGAGTGCTGGAAATGAAGAAGAGAAAACATTTGAAAACCTTGTCAAACAGTACCGTGACACTTATCCCCAAGCTGTTATCATTTTTAGCCAGTTCAACCTCAAAGATATCTCCAGGTCTAAGAGGTGATGAAGGAAAGGTTTTAAAATTCATTTTGTTGGATGTACTCATTGAGGAGGAAGATTCCTTAACAAAGAAAAAACAGACAAGAGGATTTCTTGTTAGAGTCAAAATGAATTATTAGTAGAAGACAAATTTTGGGGAGGGGGTTAAAAGAAAGATATTAAGGGATAGAATGTACTAAACGTAAGGGCTAGAAGAATTTTAGGATACTATCAGTTCAATGCATTCCTACTTACAGCTGAGGAAAATGATACCCAGAGAATGAACTACGCTTCAGGTCAGACAGACATGGCAGAAAACCCCTCGAACTCATTTAGAACTTAGCTTCTGAAAAGCCATTTCCCAGTGTTCTTTGTATTTCTGAGTTCATAAAGTATGCCCACTTTCTTTAAAAACTAATATATATCAAGCAGATCAAACCTAAGCATCTAAGATAGTCAGCTTTGTTTACCTTGTTTATGTTTGTAAATTCAATATAAGCAGAGGAACAACAGCTAAGCAGTATTTATAAAGGCATAAGGCTCTTATAAGGAATACTGAATTTTTAGTGAACAAAAGCTACAAGGCTTCCCTCTCTAAAACTTCTTGTGACTATGGGCTGAAATGACTATAATTTCTGGAATGAACTACTATCATTGTTGTCACTGCCCTCCACTTAGAACTTCAGAAGAACTTAGCTATCCGTAGTAAATTCAACTGCCCATCACATGAATTCCTGCGTACAGACAAAGTTTTTTTCAGAGAACTTTGGTTCTCTTACTAATATATGTGTTAACTATATAAGAGACAGCTAGCTTGTATTAAGTGAATCTTAATCCCAGTATAGACATTTTAGGGTTAGTATTCAAAACTTCTAATTTCTCCACAAGTTAGCATCAAATGCAGCAGCAGTTAGCAAAAGGTACAGACTCTGCTTTCTTTCCAGAATCATGTCAAGCAGCTTTTAGTATATTATACTATTCTCTAACAGATTCTCCGTTGTTTGTTTGTTAAATGAAAAAAGTGCCCTCCCTCAAAACATTGAAATTAAACCATGCCTTTTTTGGTGTTTGATGATCCCGACTGCTGGAATAAGTGGCTTCATCTACGTCTGAGCCGTTATGGTCAGTGTAATCGGTCAAATCAGAAAGTCCTGGCCTTTTAACTTTGCTTTGGTTGCTGTCAGAGGAAGTCTTTTTCTCAGTGGCTTTGGATATTATGGATGGGGAAGGGCTGCCATGTTGTGATTCTTGCCAGGCTCGGTCACCTAAGTGACTGGCAAAGAAACCATTGACCTGGCTCCGGGACAAGCTGGCACTCTCAGTCCTGGAATCCTGGGAACTAAGGCTTCCTTCCCACAGGCCCCCAGAGAGCCCAAAGGAACTTTCTGTGATGTGCCTCAGGGTGCCACGTGGCCAGTCCTCGGAAGAAGGATCTACCGCACCACTTTGCAGGTAGGAAGGTTTCTTCATGTAATTTTTCATCCCATTGGCAAAATGCACAGGAGTAGAAGGCACTGAAAGTTAAGATCCAACAATGGGAAAAACAGTCAGTGACACACATACCTGTACATACACGCATGCACACACAATCTCCTAAAGATAGAAGGGAGAACGTCACAAAGAAATCACATTTGAAACATTGAGCACAGGCCTCAGAACTACTGAAGCGTTTCAGGCAACACAGAGTCTTTTTGTTTCTTTTGCCCTCTCTTCTGATTATTCTAGCACAAACCGTTGTTAAAGGTACCTTTTTTTTTTTAATTTATTTATTTTAATTAAAAGAAGCATTTCATTACAACATAGAAGGGAGAACGTCACAAAGAAATCACATTTGAAACATTGAGCACAGGCCTCAGAACTACTGAAGCGTTTCAGGCAACACAGAGTCTTTTTGTTTCTTTTGCCCTCTCTTCTGATTATTCTAGCACAAACCGTTGTTAAAGGTACCTTTTTTTTTTTAATTTATTTATTTTAATTAAAAGAAGCATTTCATTACAACAGCATTAACCTATTCAATAATATTT